CGGGCGCGCGGGATCGGCTCGTAGCTGTGACGCGCGTCGCTGACCGGGCGCGGTGGATCAGCGTGTGAGGTGACAGCGTGGTGACGGCGTGGAACGTGTGGTGACGAGCGTCGGGATGGACAGCGTGACGGTGTGGTGACGGCGTGACGGTGTGGTGACAGCGTGGTGACAGCGTGGTGATGTGGTGGTGACGGCGAGGTGACGGCGTGACGGTGTGGTGACAGCGTGGTGACAGCGTGGACGGTGTGGTGGCAGAGCGTCGGTGACTTGCGTGGTCGGACGGCGGGTAGATGGGCGTTGGTGATGTCGGTGGTGACGGCATGGTTGTTGCATTATTGACGAGGGGTCACGCAGTCTCGGTATGCCATGTTGGGAGTGAATGGCACACTGGAGCAATTGAGCATGGCTATGTCAATGGCTTAGATTAGAAAAGCTGAGATTAACGGGCCGCCTCCCCCCCCTCTCACTTCCCAGCCCCCCCCCCCCCCCCCCGCGGCCCCCCCCTGCGTGGGTGCTTCAGAGACAAGCAATCGAACTCCCAATGAGCGGAAGTGCATTCTCCACACAAGTCTCGCCCTGGCTGGATCAACATAGTTGATGTGTCTTGCAGCAAGGTGGCGCCGCGCCTGGTGGACGGGAGTCGGCCATGTCGGCAACTTGCCGTTCCCTGGCGTTCACGATTTCCTGGCGGCTGCGAATGTTTGTGTTGGAAGCCATCTCACGACGAGGTCGCTGCCAGGGACAGCCAGTCACAGGCGATACACTTCCGCGTACGTAGAATGTGCTGGTCATTGGTCGTGTTTATTCTGATATTCAAGCCTCGAAGGCAGAGGATACATGAACAAAGGCTTTCTAAAGAAGCGCAGTAGTTCTTACTACCCGACAAACTCGCCAGCCAGTTAGCGGCAGCGTATATATATAGTATTTATGAGTATAGTATTCAGCAGAGTGTAGCACAGGTATGTACGACCTGCGGCGACCACGGTTGAGGCGCGGAGATGGTCTATCTATGAATATATACGGTATACCAAGAAGGTAGAGAGTGTGGTAGTATGTCCGTGGATAATTAGTGGTGTGTATAGTAGTTCGCGTCGCGTGACTTGTTTTCCGTCATTGCTGTTTCCATCAGTTGGCCAGAACTTCCAAGTCGCTGATAGTAACTACTCTCAGGCGCTCATATGTTTACAAGTATGCAAAAGGTATATAGATGCGGGTCGGGTACTATCTGCCATGCCCCAATAATAGGTTTCCTAGCAATGATACGTTGAGTTGCCTATACACAGAGCGGATTAAGACGTCTCGTTGATATAATTTTGAGGCGGTTTAAAAATCAGACGTCAGTGTGGCTATAAGCGCTAAAGACTCGAACATTCAAGCCTCACTATATTTAATTCAGGCATTTCATTAAGATTGCGGGCAACATTGTATCCGTTTGTGGGCCTCTTTTATCCCTGCAGACATCCATCTCCTCACCTAGCTTGCCCCTATCCACGATAGTACCCTCCCTATATAGCCTTCACCCGAATATCATAACCCTTGACTCTTGCCTCCACATTAGTGATTGCGTAGTTCTGCTCACTGCCATGTAGGCGCTGTAACGGTAAGAACATCTCCCTGTACGCCGTGTTGAGATGTGGATGCAGGGGAGGCTGGCAGGAGGACAGACGTTGGCATAGTCCTGTAGTGCTGCCCCAGGTTACTCGTTTCCTCGTCGTTGAGCGCGCGTCAATGACAGCCCAGCAGCATCGGCGCGCAGTGATGCCACCTCGCGAGTGGCCCTGACGCGGCACGCGAGGGCCAGTGCGTCACTGTTACCAACACATCTGGGCTGACAACACTGGTATGTTGCGGCTGCGCCTGTAAGTGTTCGGGCGGCTATGCGACGGCGGGCGGATATTACTATTGGTCATGGGAGAGTGAGGCACTCCCACCCCGCTCGACGTTCGTTCTACGCCAGTCTAAACGTGCGAGAGATATGGATACACCCTAAAGCTGCAAACGTGATGTTTTTTCGATTTGTAACCAAACAGCGATGAACTCGCGAAGAAGTACATAAGTTACCACGTGCTGAATTTGTAACAAATACTACGTTCCGGGAATGACACCCGCGGAACCCCTACTCTCTGCATGGCGTGTGGTTGATCAGGGGCGTTAGGAGCTGAAAGTTGGAGCAAAATCATTTTAAGTTTGTGCACAATGTTGTACACTGGTAAGTCTACCCCTGGCGTTTATGAAAGACAAGAAATGCGCCCTGACAGGGGAAACTTGGCGTTCCTGTCATCCTAGGACGCCAGCGGGAACGTCCGTGATGCTCACCAGCAAGACAGGTGTCGCGGACGGCGTTGTTTGGTTGGGCGACATCGTTGCGCGGAGGAGGCAGCGTAGTTGAGCTGGATGCGAAGGAGAGCAGTCGCAGTGGGTCGTGTAGCAAGCAGCCGCAGTCGACGCGGAGCAGCGGTTAACTCTCGAGTTCACGCCCTTCGGCGCATAACGTGCATGTGCCGTACTTTAGTATAGGCCGTATGAATCTATATTACATCTCTCTGTGTATGCCCTGTCTCGATCTCTCTTGTGTATGTGGTTGTGTATATATGTGTGTGTGTGGCGTGTGGTGTGTGTGTGTGGTGTGTGTGTTGTGTGTGTGTGGCGCTGCGTGCGTGGGCGTGCGTGGGCGTGCGTGCCGGAGGCCGGGTGCGTGGGGGGCGGGTGCGTGCGGGGTGCGTGGTGCGTGTGACTGTGGGCGGGGCATGCTTGCGAGCGTGCGTGGGGGTGGTAGGGGGGAGCGGGTTATACGCGCGTGTGCTGGTCATGAGCAGGTATGCGCAGTATAAAGGGGGGTATTACAGCGCTCTGAGGCGTCAGAGCCTACCTCACCAGCCTCGAGGCGGCCCTCTCGTGTAACAGCCCTTGGGGAGGTCGCGCGCAACAAGCCACTTCGCCGCAGATGTGGTAGGCAATATGAAGCAAAAGCTGAGCGGAGGCAGTCTCGGTGCGGGCGTACGATGATACAAGATGGCCGCCATAGCTGTGCTGGCGATTGCGGCAGGCCCGCACAGCCATCCCTGGCCTCCGCTAGCTGTTGTGCCACTAGACAAACCCACGGCGTTACTGGCATGTGAGGCCCAACGCTGCACGCCGACACGCCCGGGCGCTCAAGACTTTCATGCTAGCGATGCGAAGAGGCAGTTTTCAAAAAGGTACGTTTTACAATGTATGCGGATTGAGTTAATGTAATTGATTCATTAATTGCGACAAATGAAGTAATATAGTACGTGTCGCCGTGCTATTCTCTCTATGAGAAGTCGTTGTTACCGTATTTTGATATAGGAAGACGAGGAGTGCGGTGTGTCTATTGTCTGATGCCGTTGTTAATTCAGTTCATTCTGACTTGTGACAATTAAGCGTTTGTAGACTTGGCTCTCACCACTCTCACGCTCTCTCAGGTAATCTTTAGTTCAAGCGGATAACGTTGGGATATGCGAGGAAGGGCGAATTGTTTCTCCAAGTGAATTTAGTAGTAAAGCTTAAAAGTCGGTTAAGAATGGTATATTCTGCGTCGCCACGTCTCTCCGTCGTGGAGGGGGGCGTGGGCTTTTTATGTGGTAGTCCGCAGGGACCCTCAGCCGACGCCACTACTGCGGCGACAGCATGACAAACAAAGGCAGAACAAGCTACGAAGCACTAAAGCGACGGCTACAAGTCAACACCTAACAATCCAATGATTTTCAGAAGCGAGTATAGCCTACGCTAACAAAACGTATACTCACGCTAAACAGGGCATGGGTTCGAAAGCGTGTGCGGGCGTAGCCGAGACCGCGTATAGTGTAATTCAGCCTGGTGCCACTTTGCGTAATGCAAATAAGTGAGTGGCCCACTATCGCACGAGCGGATAGGCACAAAACCTTCTCGCTGGCGAGGCGTTCTCTGCACAATCGTGCTTCGCACTGCGCAGCGGCCGCTACGCTGCTCTGTTGAGTGGCGCGCGTCGTACGCCGTCTACGTTCTACACGGGCGCTGCCGTTCGCAAGCAGCTCAGCTACCAGTACCAGCGCACCGGGGGGTGGCCGCCCGCCACGAGAGACCAGCGAGTGACTGTACACGCCGAGCCCGCGCGACGCGAGAACAAGGTACGGGTAGCGTGCAAGCACCGCTGTGATGCATGAGTGATGAGTGGCATCATGCAGCCGAAGCAGCTGGCTTGGCTGTATTTACACGCCCGCGAGGCCAAGATTGGGTGTGTGTGTGTGTGGTGTGTTGTGTGATGTGCGTGCGTGCTCGGTGCGTGCCGTGTTGCGTGTGTGCGCGGCGCGCTGTGTGCTGTCGTTGTCACTTGTGTGTGGAGGGGGTTATTGTCATTGTATTTCGATCTAAGCCGCTGAAGCTGTATAGTCTAGCGGAACTTGCATGCGCGTAATACGTGTGTGTGTGTGGTAGGGGGGAGGGGTTATACGCGCGTGTGCCTGTATGAGCGCGTATGCGCATATAAAGGGGGTATTACAGCTCTGAGGGTCAGTAGGCCTACCTCACAGCCTCGAGTGCCTCTCGTGTTAACGCTTAGTCGCGCAACAAGACTTCCGCCGCAGATTGTAGCAATATAGCAAAACTGAGCGGAGGCAGTCTCGGTGCGGGCGTACATATACAAGATGGCCGCCATGCTGTGCTGCATGCGCAGGTCCCGCACACATCCCTGGCTCCCCGCTACTGTTTGCCACTGAGACAAACCCACGCGTACTGCATGTGAGCCCAACGCTGCACGCCGACACGCCCGGCGTCACGAACTTGTCCATCTACGTCGAAGAGCAGTTCTTCAAAAAGGTACGTTTTAACAATTATCGATTGATTAATTAATTGATTCATTAATTGGACAAATAAGTAATATATACGTTCGCCGTGCTATTCTCTCTATGAAATCGTTTTACCGTATTGATATAGAAGACGAGAGTGCGTGTTCTATTGTCTATGGTTTTAATTCAGTTCATCTGATTTACAATTAAGCGTTTGTAGACTTGTTAATCTAGGTTTGTTAATCTATTCAGCGAATAACGTTGGATATTGCGAGGAGCGAATTCTCGTAATTAATAGTAGCTAAAAGTCGTTAAGAATGTATATTCTGCTCGCCCAAGTTTGTGTGTGATCGCGATCAGGACCACTACTGCAAACATACAAACAAACAAACAACTAAACACTAAACACGCTACAATCAACACCTAACAATCAATATTTTCAGAACAGTATAGCCTACGTAACAAACTATACTCAGCAAACAAGGCATATCAAACGTCGCGTAGCACACGCTATAGTTATCAGCCTGCCATTGCGTAACAAATAAGTGAGTGAGCATATCACGACGATACACAACCTTCCTCCTGGCAGGCGTTCTCCGCCATCGTGTTTCGCATGCCGGCCGCCTCGCTGCTCTGTGAGCGCGCGTCGTACGCCGTCACCGTCTACACGGGCTGCCCGTTCCGCAAGCAGCTCAGCTACCAGTACCAGCGCCGCCTACCGACGAGCGAGTACTTACACGGCGACCCGCGCGACGCCGAGAACAAGTACGGGTGGTGCAAGCACGCTTATAGCATGAGTGATGAGTGATCATGAGCCGAAGCAGCTGGCTGGCTGTATTTACACGCCGGGGCAAGATTGTGTGTGTGTGTGTGTGTGTGTGTGTGTGTGTGTGTGGTGGTGACGGCATGGTTGTATGCATTATTTGACGAGGGGTCACGCAGCTCGTATGCATGGTTTAGTAATGGCACACTGAGCAATTGGCAGGCTATGGGAATGCTTAATTAGAAAGCTGATGATTAACGTGCGTGGGTGTTCAAACAAAATCACTCCAGATGGAGCGATCATTTCACACAATCCTCGCCTGGTGGTCAAAGTTATGTGTTTGCAGGCAAGGTGGCGCCGCCCTGGTGACGGAGGTCCGGCATTGGCACTCCGTTCCTGGTTACGTTTCTGCGCTGCGAATGTTTGTGTTGAAGCCATTCACGTACGAGTCGCTGCAGGACAGCCCAGCACAGGCGTACACTCTCCGTACGTAGAATGTGCTTCATTGTCTGTTTAATTCTATATTTCAACCTCAAAGGCAGAATAACAGAACAAAGGCTTTCTTAAGAAGCCATATTTTACTACCCGACACTCGGCCAGCCATTTAGCGGCCAGTATAATATATATATTTATATATATATTAGTAGAGTGTAGAAGTATTAACCTCGCGACCACGTTAGCGCGAATGGTCTATCTAATCAATATATACGTATACCAAGAATAAATTTATATTCCGTGATAATTAGTATTTTATAGTAGTTCGCTCGCTTGACTTGTTTTCCGTATTGCTTTCATCAGTGGCAGAACTTCCAAGTCCTGATAGTAACTACTCTCAGCTCATATTACAAGGTATGCGAGGTCTATAGATGGGTTGTACTACTGCATGCAATAATATTTTACAATGATAAGTTAGTTGCCTATACACAAAGCGGATTAAGACGTCTCGTGCTATAATTTTGACGTTAAAAATCAACGTCTGTGCTATAACGCTAAAGCAACTGAAACATTTCAAGCCTCACTATTTTAATCAGCTTCATACGAGTCCGGCAACATTGTATCCTTTGTGGGCTTTTATCCTGCAACATATCTCGTCACCTAGCTTGCCCCTATCCACGATAGTACCCCTCCCCCTATATAGCCTTCACCCGATATATAACCCTGACTCTTTCCACATAGTATGCGTGTTCTAGCTCACTGCCATGTAGCGCTGTAACGTAAAACATCTCCCTGTACGCCGTGTTGAAGATGTGACAGGGGCAGGCTGGCAGGAGACAGACGTTGGCAAGTCTGTAGTGCTGCCCAGTTACTCGTTCCTCGTCGTTGAGCGCGTCAATGACACCCACAGCATCGGCGCGCCAGTGATGCACCTGCGAGTGGCCCTGACGGCACGCGAGGGCCAGTGGTTCATGTACAACATCGGCCTGACAACACTGGTATGTGCGCTGCCCTGTAATGTTGGGGCTATTCGACGGGGGATATTACTATTGGTCATGGAGAGTGAGGACTCCCACCCGCTCACGTCGTCTACGCCAGTTAAACTCAGATGATACACCCTAAAGTCAACGTGATGTTTTTTCATTTTGTACAAACAGCATGAACCGCGAAAAACATAATTACACACGTGCTAATTTGTAACAAATACTACGTTCCCCGGCGAATGACACCCTGAACCCCTACTCTCGCATGCGTTTTATCAGGGGTAGATAATGACAAATCATTAATTGTCACAATTGACATTATCTACCCCTGGTTTTATGAAGCAGAAATTGCGCCCTGACGGGGAAACTTGCGTTCCTTCATCCTAGACGCCAGGCGAACGTCCGTGGATGCTCACAGAAGACAGGTGTCGCCACCGGTTGTTTGTTGACGACGTGTTGCGGAGGAGGCAGCTATTTGAGCTGGATGCGAAGGAAAACGCCAGTTTCTCTGTAGCAGCGCGCATCTGGGGAGCAGGTAACTCTCGATTCACGCCCTTCGCATAACGTGCATGTGCGTACCTTTATATAGGCCTATAATCTATATACATCTCTCTGTGTATGCCTCTCTCGATCTCTCTTTGTATGTGTGTGTATATATGTGTGTGTGTGCGTGTGTGTGTGTGTTGTTTAATGTGTGTGTGTGTGTGTGTGTGTGTGTGTTGTTGCTGCGGTTGCGTGCGTGCGCGTGCGTGCGTGCGTCGCGTTGCGAGCGTGCGTGCGTGCGTGGCCGCGTGCGTGCGTATGGCGTGATGGTGTGGCGGGGGCATGCTGCGAGCGTGCGTGATGTGTGGTGTAGGGGGACGGGTTATACGGCGTGCGATGTGCCTGTATGAGCGCGTATGCGCATATTAAAGGGGGTATTACAGCTCTGAGGGTCAGTAGGGCCTACCTCACGCTCGAGTGCTCTTCGTGTTAACGCTTAGTCGCGCAACAAGACTTCCCGCCGCAGATTGTAGCATATAGCAAACTGAGCGGAGGCAGTCTCGGTGCGGGCGTACACTATACTAAGATGGCCGCCATGCTGTGCTGCATGCGCAGGTCCCGCACAATCCCTGGCTCCCGCTACTGTTTGCCACTGAGACAAACCCACGCGTACTGCATGTAGCCCAACGCTGCACGCCGACACGCCCGGCGTCACGAACTTGTCCATCTACGTCGAAGAGCAGTTCTTCAAAAAGGGTACGTTTTAACAATTATCGATTGATTAATAATTGAATC